TCAGCTCCAGCTCTACCCCCGATCCGTGACCCCAGGACCGGCAAACACCCCGCCCCCAGCAGTGGGCGCATCCACTCACGGCTCATGGTGGGGAGGACGGTGATGGGCGGGAGGAAGATTGTGCGCTGGGCTGCGGAGTGAGGGCAGGACACTCAGGGGACGTGGCCAGGCAGCCACACCCCTTCCCGGGACCCCACCCTCCTCACTGCCACGCTGGGGAGTGGGAGCCTCAGGCCAACCCTGACCCACCCCAGGGAGCCCGGACTGATGGCTGCCCCTGCTGGACCCTCCCTGCCGCCTGAGACAGGCTTCCGCTCGGGGCTTGTGTGTGTGTGAGTGTGTGTGTGTGAGTGTGTGTGCCTGTGTGTGTGCATGTATGAATTGATGGCTGCCCCTGCTGGACCCTCCCTGCCGCCCGAGACAGGCTTCCGCTCAGGGCTTTTGTGTGTGCGCCTTGCCCTGAGTGTGTGTGTGTGAGTGCGTGCATGTGTGAGTGTGTGTGCCTGTGTGTGTGCATGTATGAATGTGTGCATGCACACGTGAGTGTGTGCATACGTGTGTGAGTGTATGCACACTGTGTGTGAGTGTGTGAGTGTGTGTGTGTGCATGTGTGGGTGTGTGCATACGTGCGTGTGCATGTATGTGTGAGTGTGTGCATATGTGTGTGCACACTGTGTGTGTGCATGTGTGGGTGTGTATATGCGTGTGAGTGTGTGCACACTGTGTGTGAGTGTGGACATGTGTGAGTGTGTGCACACCGTGTGTGTGTGAGTGTGTGAGTGTGTGGTGTGAGTGCGAGTGTGTGAGTGTGTGTGTGTGCATGTGTGGGTGTGTGCATACGTGTGTGAGTGTATGCGCACTGTGTGTGTGTGTGTGAGTGTGTGCGCACTGTGTGTGTGTGTGTGAGTGTGTGCGCACTGTGTGTGTGTGTGTGAGTGTGTGCGCACTGTGTGTGTGTGTGTGAGTGTGTGCGCACTGTGTGTGTGTGTGTGAGTGTGTGCGCACTGTGTGTGTGTGTGTGAGTGTGTGCGCACTGTGTGTGTGTGTGTGAGTGTGTGCGCACTGTGTGTGTGTGTGTGAGTGTGTGCGCACTGTGTGTGTGTGTGTGAGTGTGTGCGCACTGTGTGTGTGTGTGTGAGTGTGTGCGCACTGTGTGTGTGTGTGTGAGTGTGTGCGCACTGTGTGTGTGTGTGTGAGTGTGTGCGCACTGTGTGTGTGTGTGTGAGTGTGTGCGCACTGTGTGTGTGTGTGTGAGTGTGTGCGCACTGTGTGTGTGTGTGTGAGTGTGTGCGCACTGTGTGTGTGTGTGTGAGTGTGTGCGCACTGTGTGTGTGTGTGTGAGTGTGTGAGTGTGTGGTGTGAGTGCGCATCTGCTTTGGGCCTTCGTGTCCTGGCTTCTAACTCGGCCCCTGCACACCCTCCTCCCTGGCAGGTGGACCCCGGGAAGGTCTGTGCGTCACATGCGGATGGAGACAGGTCCGGCCCCCACCCGGCCCCTCCGCCTGCTGGGCCGCCTACCAGTGTCCATCCTCCGACTGCCCTTGGCTGCCTCTGTGTCTGCCCAGCTCGGCCCCGCGCTGCCCTGGGGCTCTGTGGGGACAGGATGGAGTCAGCGGGTACCGGACACGCCACCCCCCCTTGGCGGCCTGTTTGGGTGTCCGAGGGGTGCAGGGTGGCGGCCACAGGAGCAGGCTCTGGCCTCCGGTCACTCAGGGACAGAAAGCGGAGCCTCCGCTGGGGGGGTTCTGGCAGGGGCTGCACCTTTGGCGCCTTGTGCTGCCCCCGCCCCCCGGCTACGAGTCTAGGAGCTGCCTCGTCCTCCTGTCCCTGTGACAAGGCAGGAGAATGGAATCAGGAAAAGGCGGTGGCCCCGCTGGCCCCGGCCACCCCAGGAGAGGGTTTGCCACCCCAGGTCCCTCAGAGAAGGACAAAGACGGGCTTTGTTGGGGGCAGGACACCGGAGCCCGGGAGGCTCCCAGGCATGACTTAGCGGAAACCCAAAACCCAAGACCAGAACCGAGCGGCAGGCGTGGCAGGTGGGCACCAGGAGCCCCGGCACTGGTGGCCGAGGTCGTCC